CCCCCTTTTTTTCCCCCCCCCCCCAAATGCTTTCCCCTAGAACATGGAAAACCCCACCAGGAGCTCACTGAATACACCAGGAAAACATAGAAAACTGATTATTTCCAAGAAGCGCATTAACTGATGCACAGACTCATCAGGAAAGCTAGTCTTGCAGATGATGCCTCCACATCCTTAAGTACGTACATGCACACCCCCCTGAGAAAGTACACTTAAATTAAAACTGATTTAGAATCTGGAAGGTGATATCAAACTAGAATAGGTGTTCACCCTCCACTGCGTGACGCACATACCGGGCAGGATGGATCTACAGTCTGACCCAGTAAATGGCAATTCTTATGTTCTTATACAAAGCAAATTCAGGGCACTGAACAGGAATTATGCCTCATTAAAAGGTGCAAGAACTCAGTTCTAGCTAAGAAGGTATCACTGAGTCTTTATTGTTTTTGGTGCTGCTGAGAGCTGAGGAAAGACACGCAGCACGCGCAGCTCACCTGCCATGACAGGATAGTTGAAGTATTCTGCTGCAGGATCAAGATTAACCACTTGGACGGAGCGGTTCAGGGCTTCGCAGTGCTGGACCACGGTCGAACAGTATGTGCTCTGCGGAGGAAAGTCACGAACCGCTGTGGCACCCAAGACAGGAGGCAAGGGCATGATGGCAAAGCGCAGGACAGAGATAACTATGCCCAGGCCCCACGTCTGGTGTCCTGGCAGCAAGCAGTGACCAGTGCTTGCTTCCCCTCCATGCCCTGCTCCTGCTGGTGGGTAGTGGGGCCGGTGCTGCCCCTGCACTGCCCTCCGGGCTCTGCACAAGGAAGGAGCTCGGCAGCCTGACTCAAAGCGTTGTCTAGATGAGAGCCTACTCCTTGCTCTGCTCTGCTCTGCTCTGCTCACCCTGGCGCAGCCCCCCGCGTGGCACCGATGTCCTGCCAGAGGCCCTCACCCCTTCCTAACTGCCCCATTCCCCACCCCGGACACCCCAGTCCCAACCCCATCACCCCCAGGCACCCCACTGCCCCCAGCCCTGACACCCTCAGACGCCCCAACTCCCTACGCCTCCCCTCACCCCAAATACCCCAAT